CGTTAGTGTATTGAGATCAGTACCATGTACTATCGGTATAAAAGAGACATGGAGAAACAAATGATGACTGTGCACGTGTGTGTGTACCCTATGTGAAGTGTGGTTGTGCCCCAATCCCACCGCTTGCGCGGTGTGTCCGATAACGATGCTCACACCCTGGTGCAAGGTCGCCGGGGGGATAAAAGAGATATCCCTCACCCGATCTACTGTGGTGGTCAAAGTAGTCTTACATACAAATGGTCTGTGACTACATTCATAGGGGTGACGAGAAGATGTTGGCGCTAGTCTCCGGAGTGCGTGCGAGGGTGTTCATGCCACACACACACACACACACACACACACACACACACACACACACACACACACACACACACACACACACACACACACACACACACACACACACACACACACACACACACACACACACACACACGAGGAGAGCACCTTCTGGGTATGTGTAGGTGCCTTTGCCGTGCATCTCGTTGTCCACCCATTCGCCCTTGAACTTGCTCCCATCCTTCCACTGTTGTGTTGTGTGTAGTGCAGAGCAGGGCGTGAGTGCAAACAATGGACAACGTCGACGACCACCACATACACCACACCACACACACACACACACACACACACACATACATACCTCGTGGGCGTGCGCCCCTTGCCTGTGTAGCTCCCTGATCTTTGGCATCGTTGGTGGGTGTGCTGCCTCAACTGGCTCAACTGCCTCAACTGCTGATCTTGCTTGGCAACGCGAATGCAAACACAGCACTTTTTCGCCTGCAAACCAACAAGCAACAGAGTGAACTTGGCTCACATCAACTCACATCAACTCAGCTCACCACCCTTTCCTCGCTCACGTTTGAGGCAAGACGATGCCGATCACCAAGGTTGAGGTGCTTGGACTGCGGAATGATCCGCTCTTCCACACAGCACGCCACGCAGCAAAGGTGATCAGTGGCGTGGTGAATGTTGGTGTGTGTGGTGTGTGTGCGTGTGTGCTTGTGTGTGTGTGTGTGTGTGTGTGTGTGTGTGTGTGTGTGTGTGCTTGTGTGTGTGTGTGTGTGTGTGTGTGTGCATCCTGCGTCGTTGGCATCCTGCACCGTGTACATCCTGCGTCGTGTGCATCCTGCAACGTGTGCATCCCATGGGTACGTCTCCATCGTGATCCTCACCGCCTTCCACGCTTGGTTCTTGCTAAGTTCTTGGAGACGGAGCGCAAGCGCGACTTTGATGTCACATGCACGGATCTGAACGAACTGGACTGGCAAATGGCAAAGACAGAACACAAGCAGGTGCGTCGCACAGTGTTTCGCTGTATGAGTTGGTCATGAGTGGCCATGTGTGTGTGTGGATGAGGTGCATGTTGCTGTGGTGTGGCATCCTTCATATTCTTTGGTGCTGTGCGCCCCTCACGTGCCCATGCGTGCATGTGCAGTTGCAACCTCATGCCAGCACCTTTGAGGAGGATGTGCTGGTGAAGGTCGATGGCAAGGTGCTCGACTCTGTGGAGAGTCTTCTCCACACCGCACACAACGCTGGCTACGAATCCCCGTACGTGCAATGCAGCCCGTATGCGTGCGCGCGCGCGCGCGTGTGTGTGTGTGTGTGCGCGCGCGCGTGTGTGTGTGTACCTGCGTGTGTGTGTGTGTGTACATGCGTGTGTGTGTGTGTGTGTGCATGCGTGTGCGCGTGTGCCTGTCTGCCTGTGTGTGCACTTTCTCGACAGCAGCGCCGTGCCTCTCACTGTATGTTTACACCGGCTCTTCACTTCCAACACTGCAACAGAGACGATGTTGACTTTGAGAAGGAGGCGCTTGACTTTGAGACGGCATATCGCGCCAACAGCGGCCATGACTTTGTCTACTTTGACCTCACACACGGCGACCAGGAGCTCGGCCGCATCGTCTTTGAGGTGCGTGTGCGTGTGGATGGATGGGGGGGGGGGGCGAACACGCAGACACACGCAGTATTGCTAGCCACCTTCATTGTCGTCGTCATTATCATCATCATCATATCTTGTTGTGCTCACACCTCGTGACTGCCACGCCACCCATCGTGCCTTCCGTCTGCATTGGTACCAGCTCTTCAGCAACAAGCTGCCGAAGACTTGCGAGAACTTCAAGGCCATTTGCGTCGGCGACCACAAGAGCAAGAACAAGACCTACGAAGGTGCCTTCGTGTATGCAAGTTGGCGTGTCACAAACAAACAGCCACGGTTTGCTCAGTGTCCTTTTACATCACAACACACACACATGGGTTCATCTTACCGTATCCATGTGTGTGCACGCGGTTGCTTGCAGGCAAGCCGCTGACCTACAAGGACACGCTGCTGCACCGGATTCAGAAGTACGGCTGGGTGCAGGGCGGTGACATCTTCACAGGCGCAGGCGACCACGGTGTGTGTCGGATGTGTGTTGAAGTGCATGTATGTGTGTGCGTGTGCATGTATGTGTGTGTGTACGCGCGTGTGTGTGTGCGTGTGCATGTGTGTGTGTCTGTGTGCGTCACTGTAGCATTGGACCGTTTCACACAACCTCCTACTTTTCATCACACCACCACCTCACCATCTCCTCACCACCACCCACTACCTCAGGCGAGTCAATCTACGGGGAGACGTTTGCGGATGAGAGCTTCAGCGTGAACCACAGCAAGCGCGGCATCCTGGCGATGGCGAACAACGGCCTGCACACCAACTCCTCACAGTTCTTCATCGCATTCAGGGCCCTCGAGTGGATGAACACCAGATATGTCGCCTTTGGGTGAGTACGGCTGCCTTGCGTGGAGAGGGGGGGGGGGGTTAGGGGGTTGACAGTGAATCGTGAAGCGTGAATGTGAAGCGTGAATGTGAAGCGTGAACGTGAAGCGTGAGATCAACGTACCTCTCACACATCTGACACACACACACACACACACACACACACACGCACACACGCACACAC